GGTAGCAATTAGCAGAGTTTTAAAAGTCAGAATTCAGCTTTTATTTAAAAATACATAAAGTTTTGCATATGAGTATGAACTTCAAATAACTAAGTATCAAGTCTAAATAAAAATAAATTGAAAATAGTGTTCTTCAGTTCCTCAATTACCTGTAACTTTTTTTTCCTTAGTTCAACAGTATATCATAAGAACAAGCGGAAGCATCCTTGATCTAAGAGACAACTTTGATGACGCTCTTCAAGTAAACACCACTGATCTGTTACCAAACGAAGCCAACTCCAAGGAAACCTTTACATTTAAACCAGGAAATATCTCAGAAGAAAATGCAACACATATATTCATTGCCATTCAAAGTGTAGATAAAAGCAACTTGACATCAAAAGTATCTAACACTGCACAAGTAGCTTTGTTTATTCCTCAGGCAGATTCAAGTCCTGATGAAAATCCTCAGAATCCTAGTCCTGGTGAAAATCATCATAATACTGGAGTTAACATTTCTACCTTGGTGTTGTCAGTGATTGGGTCTGTTGTAGTTTTCAGTATTATTTTAAGTACCACAATTTGCATTTTAAAGAAGAAAAAAAATGTAAGTAGGCCTAGCACTGGTTTTTAACAAAAATGAAGGAGATCTGTGAATTTTTTAATGTAATCTGTTTAATTATGAACTCATAAAAATAATTTTAAGAGGTCTCGAAAGATACTTTGATTAAATATAAACATCCAGGGATATTTGAAAAACCGTAAGTCAATATTAAAGTTTAATTATTTTATTTATCATAAATAGTGATGAATATTGATACCTAGTTGTATGTTTTTGATACAAAAATGTTCTAGAATATTTCAAACTTCATCAAAAAGTTAAAGTTGTCTATTTGGGTAGTAAAAATACAACCATAAGAAAGCAAATGAGCAATATTTGGAAGAAAATCAGTTTAGTCTTGGTCCTATTAAGTATAAACTGATGGTATAGTCTCCAATTATTTGCTACAATAGCTAAGGTCTTGTTCATTGCAGTTTATGGAAATAGAGGATATTAGTCACTATCTGTCAAAGGTACTTTTTCCTTTTTTCAGCTCAGTACAAACATATATCTATTCATTTTCCCTGAAAAAGCCATACTTCCTTGTGTACTTTTTCTTTCATCATAACAAAGAATTACTGCAGCTACTATATATTGCTCTTACTTACAGATAAAGAAAAATAAATATATTTGAACCACAATATTTTAATTCATTTCTAAGAATCACAACCTGAGAGACAGAGCTGTACTTCAAAACTCACATCTGATTAATTTGACAGATGATGCTTAAGATATAATTCAACACTGTATCCTGAAGGGCCTTTCAATCATGGGAAAGAGTTTGAGTTTCATTCTAAGTGTAGAAGGAAACTGTTGAAGTTCTAAAAGTTTATCCTAACTTACACTTCAAAAAATTTGCTCTGGTTGTTGTGTGGCAAAGATATCTGAAGATACATGAAACAGTGTTTAGTTAGGAAGGTATGACAATAGTCCAGGGTGAGAGATATTGTGGCTTGAACTAGAATGCTGGGGTAAAGTATCTCATCATCCAGTCAATCAAGCGAGAGACTTGACCCCCTCTTTCTTCACCCTTTACATCTAGTGAGTCAAAAATTCAGTTACATCTTTTT